AACGGTTAGTTTGGAAAAAAAATACCTTTTCTCCGACTGCCCATCTCTTAAGCAGCCGGGATCCGTGCTGCAGCGGTCTCCCCCAGGCAGGAGTTATGAAGGTGGCCTGCGCTCCTTCAGTGAAAGGACAAAGAGCTCTCGTCTCTTCCGGCGGTTGTCTGGTGCGCCACCAGGGGTCGCTGTTGTGCCACAAATCCAAGAATAACCTGATCAACTAGCGTTGCCCTGGTTATTGTCTCCCGAGAATACCAGTCTCAGTCAACAAACGCTAGAGCCCGTGTTGAAACCTGCAGTCGGTAACCTGTACCTCTAACAGGCATTTTAAATAGAAGATGAACTGAATATCCCAATTCTGTCTGTTATTTTCCAACGTACTTAGAGTGCCAGTATTATTTTTCACTGTTGCTTAAAACACCGAGTGTGTTGTTTAGCCAAGATTAAATACATTTTCCTGGTAAGAATAAACGGCTGTAAATTGAAGATCTGAGAGACCTGTAAAACAGGTGTGGTTCTGGCTGCAGGTTAATTATTTGTGAGCGTTTTGCTTTAGTTTCGGCGACACTTATCAGGCAATGTGTCCATATTGTTAGTGTACATATACTGGCCCTTTCTAGGAGCGAGAGACTTGGCTGGTGGTTGGATGTTATCAGCTCCTGACCGCACCCTGTGGGAAGCAGTTATCTGTCACCCATGTGCTCCAGGCCTTGGGGGAACCCCCCCGGTCCTGCAGCAGGTTCTCATCGGTGTTTAATGAACTCTTGTGAGAAGCACAAAGCAGTATTTCAGTCGTCTGGAGAGCACGGCTACTATTGTACTTAGCAAGGGATTTTTTATATAGATATATTTATAAACCTTAAGTTATTTAAAACTATTTCTTTAAAGAGACGGTATATGTTCTGTCCTCCTTCTTCGTTGTGAAGTGAGTTCAAGCTCTGCTCGGCCCGGCAGCGATGAGGTCCCCTGCTGTCGGCCGGGCAGACTCTCGATCCCTGCAGCCTCTTTCCTCTAACCTGTGTATAGTGTAAAACTACATGTACAAATGTGTAAATATTTTCTGTTGGCTTAAATATCAAAGCGATTAGTGGCGGTTTTATTTTATTTTTTTGTTTTTACGAACGGCAGAGGTTAATCTTGTTCTGGCAGTGCACAACGGTGATGGTCCAAATCTGTATGTACTGAAGCCTTCTGTAAGCATGCGGTCAGCTGCCGCATCGACTGGGTTACCACAGTACAGTGTTAGATGGGCGGTAAAGCATGGTGATTTGTATAGACGTCTTCGTCTTCCGGTCAAGTCCAAAAGCGGCTTCTGCGAAGATATCATTCTCTTGCGTGATATGCTGGTGGGGTGGGCTGGAAGATCTCAGGGTTTGGAGGAACAGAGCAGAGGTAGCGATGACAGAGCAAAGGGGAAACTATCGCGTCTATTTTTCAGACCAATATCTGACTCTTGGGCCAATCAGGTGACAGACCGGAACCCGGCGGGGGACATCACGCGGGACGTGTCCCGGGGGGGGGGACCGGGTGTTGGAGCTGGGGAGGAGGGGTTCCAGTCGCTTCACGCGTCTTCCACGTGTTTCACCTTGAATGCACATTGTTTGTCTTACACCTCTACCACTGGAAACGGGACAGCGGTCTGAGTCTGTTTTTATTCTCTGTTGTGGTCGCTGTTCCTTCTAAACGTAGAATCGCCGATTTATTCTTTTTTTTTTCTTACACCCACCCGAACTCGACACCCCAATCGTGGTTTTCACGTTTCCGGTAGCGAAGAGGAACCCCACACCTACACTTCCTTGTTCCCCCCGACCCCTTCCGTAGACACTCCCTCGACCCTACGGCCCGCCCACCTGCGAGCCAATCGCCCTCTAACACGTCACGATAACCGCTAGAGGCTGGGCGCTGATTGGAGGAGGGGCTGGCTCTGCACTCGCTGCCTGCATGGGTGCGGGGGGCCGCAGGGGTCGCTGTGTAGCTGAGAGCCGATGGGGTTCATGCTGGGTGAACCCCCCTTTTTTGCCTTGTCGCTTGTGCGCCCCCGCTTGGAGAGTCACGGTCGCAGTCCGCTGGAGACCCGAGCACCCAGATCTGCAGTAAAACCCTGCGTCTCTACAGTTTAGCGTTGGCAAATGATATATATATATACAGCCCCACAGTGAAGTTCGCACCTTCTGTCTTAAAATAAATTAGTTACAGCACAGTCGAAGATGTAGATTTAACGAGAGAACGGGTATTGAAAACAGGAATATTTATTTTTAAATGTTATTTATTTGGGGGCTTAGCAGCAGTAAAGCGGCGAAACCATTTTTGCACTGACATGGAAGTCGAGGCCGAAAAAAACACGTGTGATGGGATCCGAGCAGTATTCGCGAGTGCAGCTTAAAGCGCACGGGATACAGGATATGGCTGAGAGGTGCTCTTTCCTCCTGTTGGCCACACACGCCAAGTGATGTCATATTATGAACGGTCAAAATAGGAAAACATTTTGAAAAGCAGGTCTTTGGTAGTTAAGAGCTCATGTTATGTAAAAAGGCAAATAATAAGGAAAACGAACTACTGATTTTGTAATTACTGGAAAGTACTGATGGTTGTATTAACATTTTAAATAAATTGTATATTTTTGTTCAGAGGTGGTTGCATGAGCACGTGTGTTTTGTTTTGGTTTCTGTGTACGTTCTGGTCATAACACCGGGAAAAACAAACAAAAGTGATACAACAGGTTTTGCTCACAGTTGGTCCAAGCTTTTGCTGGCCGAAAAGGAGGGTTTTGTCATCTCAAATGGGGGATTGGAGTCTATCTTCAGAACCGGCACCATCAGAGCCTGTGTTTTCCCTGCACATGGATATTTCCAGCATGACATTAAGGTAAATCGTAGACGATCCCAACCTGTTAGCCTGCCTGACTCAGCCTATTAAAAAGCTTTTGAAACCACAATGCAAAGTTTGCAGACCTAAAGGTGTGGCCTAGGAGAACTGCACACAACCCTTAGCAGTAATGTGTTTAAGAAGACAGCATGGCAACATCCAAGCACTCTAGTCCACAGAACTCTCCAGCCACAGGTGTTCTGAATCATGGCAGGCTTTGTGGTTGTCTTTGTCAATAGTTCTCTTGCCTTCCTCTTATTGGGCTCTTGGGGGGTGGTCAATTGCACTGTTGCATCAATATGCTAGGCCTTAAGCTGTTGACAATGAAAAGAGATCTGTGTGTCAGTTGCTGTCAACACTGTAAACACCTGATTGAAAGGTTGTACAAACACGTCATTCCTATGGTATCCTGTTATGGCATGCAGTAACTGCAACTGTCCAGCAGGGGGGATTCTCCGATCGCCTTGCTTGGAATGTTGTTTTCCTCCCCAAGTTCAGAAATTTAGGGCAGCGCAAACTGAACGTCCTTTGTGCCAGATGGAGTCCTGCTCTATTGTTCGGCAGGGCTGC